GACGAGAAAACACTGCCAAACAGCTCTTCCGTGGGTCGGGGTTGAGGTTAAACCTGCAAAGCAAAGCAAACAAAACGCCACGAACCAAAAAGGTCCGGTGAGATACAAGCACTCACGATAAAATATTACTGGCGCGATTGTCAAGCGTTACATTCATTGTGTTTTTGTACATTGAATTACCGTAATTCATCCCAAATGACGGGCTGTCAATGGTAATTTCTGGAACGGTTTTGCTGAATTCCAGCCGCTATCTAATGCGCACAACAATGATGTTTATAAAACAGGAATAAGCTGAATTAGTTTGACTCGGATAGATTATTAAAAGCATTGGGTATTAATGCAGAGCGGAAAATGAGGAATATATTGTTGTTAACCTGGTAACAAACAGTTACTTGAGTCCAGCGGGGACAATGAGTCCACAACAGGACGAAACAGCTGTCCACTTCACTTTGTCAAGCATCAAATAGATACTTCCATCGTACATAAATATTTTAGTAATTTTAACAAAAGGTAATCAGCAAACGAGTAGTGAAACAAATCAGTTCACTGCGCTGGGAGTGGGTGTATCTCCACAGGCTGGTAGACAGACTTATCGGTTATCGAGTTCAGTGGTAGCAAATCACCCTTTAAACAGAGAAGCATTCAACGGGCTACTAGGCAAAGGGTAGGGCATTTGGATTGTAGATCGAATTGACCAATCTCGTCCGTTGTTTTAAGCAAATTGAGTTGAGAACGAATTGACAAAACTGACGGCATTAAGTATTTTGATTTTTACTTTATATTCAGGCGTTTGTTTCCGGAACATGGGACAGTCCACATTCATTTCGGAAAACGATGCACGACTTCCAGTTGCCTTTATAAATTCGGGCAATTTGTCGGCCGGAAGTTATTTGAATTCCGTCTGCTTTGAGAACTCATTCACGACAGCAGTCGGAGCTTACGGGACAAGTGGTCTGCTTTTGGACAATGTGGTCATCTTCAATACCATGGGATCGGGTAAGTCAATGGCTTTTACCCAGTACCACGTACGTACCCTGGAGCAATAAAGCACGACAGACTGTCATCCCCGGCAATTCAGTTTTACCCATCCAATGGTAGAACTCAATTACAGTGTTTACACCATCAGGTTTACCGAGTGAGGATGTGAGCTGTTCGTCGTCGATTGAAAATTTTCTCCGTCGCAATTTCAATCAACATGTGACGTGTAACATGCGAACAAATGCAAACACCGAATCAACAAAGATGAATCCACAAATAGAGAGAAAGTATTCATAGAACTATATGTATAGAAAAAGTCACTCACGTAAACGACTTGAGACAAAGTAGTACAACGATTCATTGGATTCGGATGCTTTTCGATCAATCAGCTAAAATCGTTGGAAAAGTTTTCATTTTTTGTTCCTGCCAGGTAATTTGGTTTGCTATATACTCAAATACCTACCCATGCGACGGACAACCGATGTCTTGCCAAATAAAAACTAAAATTCAAGCGTAGCAATGATGACGAACAACTGAAAGGCAGTGGTGACAGTCACAGGTCAACTACTAGAGATAGGGCTGGAACTCAAATTACATTTCCTATTAAGTCGCGTATGTGTGGACCTATTTTTACTCATCGTTATTATAATTACTATCAACATTATTTTTCAGATTTCACCACCAATCAAAATCTTCAGTCCAGCCGTTACTCGAAACCGCTCCACTCATAATCAGCCCCCCCCCTCCTTCAGGTGGCATCTGGTTACTAGGTCAAATGACTCACACCGAAACTGAGTACAATAATCGCGTCGAATTTGTTCAGCTGTCGTCTCTAATGCTAGTTTCTGATTGTAAACAACCCACTAAATATAAACTCACATCGAAAACCTTCATCTGAAACAGGTCCATGAGGTGGGTTTGATGAAATTTATCAGTCAAAGCATGTATATTGACCAGACGCTTGGTTAACACAAACAAATGTGTGCAAACGTAAAAATCCTCAATCATGAACTCTGATCTCACCGCTCCCCCACCGTCGCCCCTAACCGTTTAGGAATTGTATTGAAAGGATCCGGTCACCGGGTCACGAACAGCGTGATCATTCAAACCGTTTGGTCTGGGAATGCGGTCAGCGGAGCAATCCTGCTATCACCTGACGTTGTATTCCAAGCCGGGGTTGATATTGTGGCTGCACCAGACACAGTCCTGAACAACGTGGCCGTGGCCGGCGCTCAACGAATCGGGCTCGTCACGCAAGGTTTATCTTGCACAGACAGTCCGGATAATTATTGGTAGGTCAGGTTTTAACCCCTTGTTTTTGTCATTGATGGCACGTTTTTACGGCGTTCGGTCTGGCACTGAAACCTACCTAACAGTTCTCACGATAGCAACGAAATGCATTCCGCGTGTTAAGCGTTAAGACGTTCCAGTTTACTCTCTCCATTCCAAATGAATATTCTCTGAGATGGTATGGACCGAATTGTGAGTTCGAATGTTCAACGGATATTCGTCTGGAGTCCTATTGAACCAGCAGCTGTGAAATTAACTATAACTGCAGTGAACGATAATGCCAATAGTCCACTTGATTATAAGACATCAGCGGAACCGCAAACAGTGAAAATGTGTGCTTCCCTCAGATCAAAACTGGTAACTGCTTTGAACCAAAAGACTGCGCCTCGCAACAACCGAAAAAAGGTGTATTTACGTTTTATGAATACCTATCAGAAAAGTATTCATCTTTAATCACTGAATCACCTTATATTTAACCGTAATGGTTCATCTGGAGATCACTTCATATAATTGGATTCATTTTCTTTACCACCACTCTGATGTGATTTACCAAATACACATTTCATTCTATTATTGTGATTCTCAAATTACGGAGGAGCATCACGGATCACGGACGCAAGTGAAACACTGAGTCGCACCAGCACTTGTACGCTGGAATCTCCCTTCACCGAAACGCGGGAAAAAGACCACCGAATTAGCAATTCGTTTATTGAAAAACATCGATGTGATTAAGTAACGTGTACAACGGAAGTTTATTGGTTACACAGGCTTCCACCAATTGCGTGCTGGTAATCTGGACGTCATATAACTTTTGTTTGTAATTCACTATTTCTGATTGGTCTACACGATTGGCCTGTGGTTCGTTGTCCAGAAACGGTAACGCGTCAGCGCTTGGCTGGCGTCATCTGGGAGAGTTGACTCACCACACGAGGTCAGACAGATGACTAGTACACACACACGCGGGAACGACCCGTTGTGTAGGTCAAAAAAGAGAGGCACATGATTCACTTCAATAGCAAGCATCAAAATGCGATTGGTAGCAGACAGTATCCGAAATCAAGGAATGAGCTTCAATTTGATTGAAATAGGGTTCAAAAAATCAATGAATATGCCATGATTCCACGTATGTAATGATGCATAGGCGGAACTGCATTGGATATAGGTGATTAACGCAATCACACTGTCACAAAAGGCTGATTCTCAGGTTCTTACGAGCCCTAAGAACAGTACTTTCCATTGCATTCTCCTCAGAGTGATTAAGCTCTAGATTATATCACGGTTCTACCTATCCCTCTGTATTTTGAACATTCCCGTAACTCAGGATTTAGTTGGGCATTCGTTCTCTAGTTGATTCAAATCAAACATGCCCTTTTTTCATTTTTTCCCACAGGCAAGAGGTGGTCGTGCACTCCTGTATGTTGGGTGTCCTGGTGAAGGATGTCACTGCTTCCTGTAATCGGATTGCCAATATCAAAATTTACTCAGCCTCAGAATTCTCTGTCCACTGGCAAGTGACCTCGTCGATTATCGGAAGCGATTTACAACTTGTGGATAATCGTGGTGGTAAGACAACGAACCACGTTGTGGTGAATTTTATCGAATGCAAATCTCTTTGTATCTGGTCAATCCATCTTCGCATCTGTCTCCAATAATTGTGAACGGGACAACATCTTATTGATTGGCTAATACTCAGCTAGGGTAAATATTAACTAGCCAATCATAAATGAATTCTGCAATGAAGTTCATTTGTGTCGAATAATGAAAAATTGTTTAGATCCTGTAAATTACATTAGCCCCAGTGGGACTCGAACTCGCCCATGGACCCTGCCTGCGCTTTTTGTACAGCGCATTCTCTACCAACTGAGCTACGAGACCACACACCGATAACACTGATCTTTTCTCAGTCTAATCGTCCAGCTAACTTACAAAGGGATATGACATTCATCAGGCAGCACGTAAGCTCATTGCCACCACAGGTTTTCCTTAACAGTGACCGGAGTCCACCGAATGAACTTCCAATGTAAGGTTGATTTTTAAAATTTTTGTTTGACTGATAGAAGTGTTATGTTGAATTTGTGAGGTAGATGATTCCAATGTGAACAGAGCAGCTATATCGGTGTGGTCTAGTGGCTCAGTTGGTAGTGCGCGCGCGCGATACGAAATGCGTATGCGGCGTCCATGTCAAGGTTCGAATCGAAAGCTAGGCTAATGAGCTTATTACAATTTCAACACAGGACTCCAATTTGCCGAACAGAAAGTTGAACTACTGAATCATTATTGTGCTGCATAATCCCCTTCGAGAGTGAAACCAACGTTATTTAAGATTAGGACCAAATGACTATAAACGATTAGTCGAGGCAGATCCTCATGGTTAATTCCCTTCTGAATGATAAAGAAAAACCATGAGTTGCAACCTGAAACGGGGTTCCGGTGAGATGAACTTGCAACTTGCATCCCGATAAGGGAACACATGCTCTCAATTAGCAACAAGGTTTACAAATTACCGTTTTACAATAATTTATAAATGCTATCCATCACTATTACCTCTGTTCTCCAAATCTTTGAGGGATAAGCTCAACGAACTGGCAGAGTGCGTCTAATGGTGCTAAAAGTTCTTGGACCCTATATACTATCCAATGATAGTAGTGACCAATAGCTTTATGTAGATAAATCTCTGATGAACCGGCAATAAAAGCCAAATTTGTGAATGTTATAATGCTAATAACACAGCGATGTCGGTAGAGTATTATACTCACCGACGTGTCGGTTACCGTGTGTAACCTTTCTTAATCAAATGACTCAGAGGAAAAGATCACAAGTTAACGGATATTTCATCGTGTGTCTGTGGGTGTGTGTGAGCTGAATGATTCATTATCTGTCATACTAACCCCCATTATCAGATGGTATCAAGTGGCACCGTGACCTTTATTGTCATTACTCGTTCGGGCTGTTAGAGTAATCCAAATGCTCAGGATCTCGATTCCGTCGTTTCTGTTGACACATGCACAGTGGGTGTTAATGGCTAAAGCTTCGACCAGATAAGTGGGCAATAACGCATTCGATTGTTGTTCTTATCAATTATTGTTGGATTATGAAAATTTTGCCCAAATTTTGTTCTTCTTTTACTCATCCAGGTATTTATACATGCGTGGGCTCACCCAATGGTCGAACGGGAGTGAGGCACCAGAAGACTATACGATTGCAAAACTCATTGTTTGTCGGACGCAGTGGATTGCAAGCTTGTACCGACGCACCCCGATCCGAAATAGTCAGGTCCGGTTCCCTATTGACCGGAATCTATTCACCAAATGGTGGTCACGTGGGCATAGTCAGTGGATTCTTTGCCAGTGGTTTGTCGGATCTGGTCAAAATGGGTTTGACTGACTGGTCTAATGACTTCTCACTGGGCGGTGGTTCGTTTATCCAAAGTGAGTAGAAGTCACCATTGAGATTCAAACCTCGCATCAGTCCAACCAAATGACACAGTAGCTGTCTGCCGCTTAAAATGAAGGAGGATATGAACCTTAGATTGGTGCAATGATGCCAGACTAATTTACTATTTGTACACATTTTTTGCATTTCACGCATCCCAGAGGTTTTCCAGGCTCCGCTCAACCCGAATAAGTTTAAGATACACAACCAACATATTGCCTTGCATGGAAAAATTTCACTAAACTATTTTTAATAATCTGCCTCCTGTAGAAACGTTAATTTTATTCAGTAAATCATGGTGATGGCTGTTCGTTGGCCTTTGCGTATGAAAATAGCGGGAGGGTGTTATGCTGGGATCAAGCAGTTGAGGTCAAGTATTTATTGCAAATGGGTCGGGTAGAGATACGTTCGTCTCCACCGTTATCTTGTTCAGATAAAAACGGGTTACCTAAGGATTGATTTGGGTCATCACAACGCTCATACCTGACGTTGCCCGCTTTGGGCCAAGGAGGCTTAAGTGCCTAAACACGTATTTATTCTTTAGCACACAATTCTGGTTTCAACATAAGCGAATGATAATTGCCCCGGTTGGTGCTAAATTGTAATCCCGAACAGCCGTAGATTTATGTTGTGGGACCCGATAAATGATGATGAAAGCCGAATTGACATCCGCCCTCTTTGTCCAGTTTTCACTAAGTGTGTAACAATCAAACTGGAAATAACTCCGATTCCTGATGTTCCTTGATGCGCTTAGATAGCTGTTTTGTCGTACGACCACCACAGATGCACTTGAATCCGCAGATGGGCATTGACGAGATCAACGCAGGCAACTTATTCTTGTTCTGACATCGGATGACGAGAGATATCGAGGGCACGCGACTGAGTTTGGCAGAATTGAATATTTTTAACTGCGGCACTCAGGACTCAGGGCCCTAATGGAATTTACCCACTATGGTATTGAGGGCCTAGATTGAATCATGCAATGATTCATCCCCTCATTTACGTCTGACCATGGTGACCGATTTATTGATCCAACTTGTGAGGATTTGCCTCCTTAGCCGGCCGACAGAGGTTAATTACCGCCGAGTTCGTTCATTCACGTCTGCGGCACTCACTCGATCAACGATCACGGACAACGTTCACCGGTGGGGTGGGTGGGGGAGGCGACAGTCCACCCTACCCCACCGAATCTTACATCCTCGCTTGGTACTTTTGTTTGTTTTAGTAGAAGTGAGTTCATTCAGACAGTTCGGGGCTTAGACAGACCCGGTCCAATCGGTGACATTTGACGGCCGAAACACCACATATCTTGTGGGGTTACCTTTTGAATGCGATTGGCTGGATTCACTTGAGGTTACAACGGATTCATTTCCATTCAAGTCAAGCTAAGAAACGGCTTTAATTTGCCCCATAGGAGATGAACATTCAGCTGCTACACAATCACTCTTCTGTGGAAATTGCATGGTAAAAAACGGATGATGTTAGGTTACATATACAAAGAAATAAGAGAAATTTAACAAAGATTTTGTTTAAGAGGCCAAATGACCAGATCAGCCTTGGTAAGAAACCGTGCTGAGTACGGTATCACGGAAGACTTGTATGCTGCGGTGCGTGCTGCTATATGCTTATACATAGAGCGAGTGCTAGATGTGGAGGTACATCGACTAATATGAGGGTACAGTGTATGTTATGGGTCAAGTAGTATTCTCATGGAGTT